CACACACAAACTCATATACACATATACATAAACACACACATACACACAAACATAAACACACACACACATACATATATAAATTCTATTCTACAAATAGATTGATCACAATGTTTACACTTAATTAGAATAGAAATTATACCTCTGTCAATGTGTGTGGTATTAAGGGTGTCATCAGCTTTTAAAATATTAAAGGAAGGCAAATGTTTTAGTGTCCCTGTCCCTAATAAAAAGGTATCATCGCCATGAATAAAAAAAATATTTTTTACTCTCCTTTTCCTAGCACCGAGGCTCCCTTAGCGCTGCTCACCTCTGCTCCTCCTACGGCGTCATGGAGGAGGCATGGCTCCCTTCGGGGGTTGGTCCAATCCAATTCTCCTCATAGAAGAGTAGTGGGAACCTGATGCAGATGAATGGCTAGTGCCACATCTGCATCAAATTTGCCCATAGGAAATCATTGAATCAATGGGGCTGTAGTTAATTGAGTTTTTATTCAGATGTTGCAGCAGGAAGCCCCTTTAGTGGCTGTCAATATGATATCCATTAGAGGAGGATTTACCCATGCAATGTTAAGATTGTGGTTGCTTAAAAAAAAAAAGAAATTGCTATTTTTTTTATATAGAAGAAATTGCCTTTCGTGGTCGTTTAAATACACTATCTGCCTTGGCAAATAGTATAGGTTCTCTCTGTAAGGGCACAAATGAGCAAAAACAGAGGAGGGTCAGGGACTAACCAAAGGGCAAGCTACTGAGTTTCTCTAAACTATTGCCAATTTTCAGAGTTCTCATATTCACTGTTTTTGCTGTGGAACTCTGCCATAATCGGACACTGTGGCTTCATGTTTGCGTGTGACGCAGCCTTGTTGAAAGGTTGCGGCCTAGGAAGCAGAACTCCTGCCTGGTTATCAGTTCTAGCCTATTTAGCGAAGTTCCTCTCTGGTTGACAAAGCTGAAGCCCAGATAGCCAGTCCCTCTATGACTGACAGAACTGCAATCTAATTATAAAAAAAGCTTCTGTCTAATTTGCAGTGTTAATGCTTGACTGACAGTTCCTTCATTGGCTGACAGATCCTGGTTGTCAAAGTTTTAGCCTGGTCACCAGAGTTCCAGCCTGGTTGTCAGGGATGCTTATTTAGAGATTCTGGTTGGTTGATTGAGTTGCGGCCTACTTAAACGGTTGCTGTATGAATTGCAAGATTGCTGCATAGAGAGAAATGCAGCCTAGTGGACAGAGCTGCGGCCTTGTTTACTTAATATATTAAACAAAGCACATGGCATTTCTCCATTTGTCTTTAGAACTTTTATCATCCTGTTGATACCCACAGCACAGAACACGTAATT